ACATTTATATATACACACACATTATATATATATATATATATATGGTATACACACATATGGTATGGTAGTGTATGCCTGTAATTCTAGCCCTCGGGACAGGCAGAAAGACCACTCATAAATTCAAGACTAGCCTCCACTACATAGCAAGACCCTGACTCACAGGAAAACTGTGGAAAGATTTTAGTAGTCTCCACTCTGTCCTGAAAAGGAAAGCCTGAACAAATGGAACAACTAGCAGTTCTTAAATCCATTAGAGACTAGTATCACAGGCCAAGCCATCACCTCTAGAGTGGAGACAGATAGCTGGATAGAGTTATACAGGAGCTCATACTATGGGAACCAGTGCCAGAGCAGGAAAACCTGGACTCTAGTGTGGATAATCTGGCAGCAAGAAGCTGTTGGGATAGTCCATGTGTTGGAAGGCTCCACACAGCTCTGACTTTAACCTCCGGGGACTTTACTAGGTTTTTACAATAACTATTGGGGGATAGTGTCCTTTAGATAGAAGGAGGGAAAAGAGACCCTTTTAAAATATACCAGAACTTCCCAGATAATTCCAGCACTCAGGAGGCAGAGGCAGGAGAATCTCTGTGAATTCAAGGCCAACATGATCTACATATTAAATATTTACTTAATTTATTATTAAAAATTATTTACTAGAAAGAAAAAATAAAGTCCTGTATTTACAGGTGACAATATTGTGTTTATACAAAGCCAGAAAGAAAGATGTGGCTGCAGAATTGGCTCAGTGGTTAGGGACACTAGCTGTTCTAGAGAACTGGTGGTTGGTTTCTAGCAGAGCCACCTTCTGGCCTTTGAGGGCACAGACACAAACATAATGCATAGACGTACACTCAGAACAAAAAAAGAAAACCTCATGTACATAAAATTAAAAAATAGAAATTCAAAAATCTAAAAAAAAGAGAGAAAAGAAAGCCAGACTGCCTCTAACAACTAAGAAATTATAGCAAGATTATAGGATGCAAAATTAACATAAAAGTTGACCACTTTCCTAAATACCAGCACTGAATAAGTAGAATTTTGAGATTAAGTATATAGTGCCATTTAGGCCAGCAAAATGGCTCAGTGGGAAGAGGGACTTGCCATCTCCCCCGTGACCTGATTCCATCCCTGGAACCTACATGGTGGAAGAAGAAAACTGACTTCACAAGTTATCCTCTGATCTCCCCATGCTGTGGCATGTGTAGGTGTGTTCTCTCTCTCTCACACACACATACATACACAAACACACACACACACATACATAAATATAAAAATTAGTCACCAGGGAGTGGCAGTATTTGAAAAAGTTAAAAGGATTGTTGGGAGGTGTGGCCTTATTGGAGGAAGTGTGTCACTATGAGTAGGCTTTTTTTTTTTTTTTTTTTGATTTTCAAGACAGGGTTTCTTTGTAGTTTTTGGAGCCTGTCCTGGAACTAGCTCTGTAGACCAGGCTGGCCTCGAACTCACAGAGATCCGCCTGCTTCTGCCTCCCGAGTGCTGGAATTAAAGGCATGTGCCACCACCGCCTGGCTGGCTTTGAGGTTTCAAAAGATCATGCCAGGCTCAGAGTCTCTCTCTCTGCCTGTGGAGCAGGATGTAGAACTCTCAGCCATTTCTTCAGCTCTATGTTTGTCTGTGTGCCGTTATGCTCCCCACCATGATGATAATGTACTAAACCTCCAAACTGTAAGCCAGCCCCCAATTAAATGCTTTCTTTTATGAGTTGCCTTGGTCATGGTGTTTCTTCACAGTAATAGAACAGTGCCTAAGACAGTATCATTTATATTAGCATCCCTAAAAGTGGAAATAGGTGGAAAATATAACAATGTGTGGTACAGGACGTACATGAGAAAAGTTATAAGAGTGATGAAAGGTTTAAACACATAGATATTGCACATTTTGTTCAACTGACCTAAGTGCTGGGAACCGAACACCGGCCCTCTGGAGCAACAGTGCATTAACCACTGAGCTATCTCTCCAGCTCATTTAAAAACTGATTAATTACATGCAGGACATCTCTAAAGGTCAACCCCAGAAAAGGTAGGAAGACACGTAACAAACTCCCAGCTTTGTTTGGGAATCCCAAATGCATTTATGGACCTAGTGACCTGGAGACATGGTTTTGGTTTGTCTGTTTGAGACAAGGTCTCACGCAACCAAGTGACCTGGCCTTGCACTCCTGATCTCCTGCTAGGGACTTGGTTTTAATAATAATACAAGAACACGAGAAGAAGCTGGGGAGCTGGGCTTATGTTGGGTGGAGATTTGTAACTGACCTCAATATATTGTACGCTTACCATGAAAGTGAACTTTAAAGCAGTCTCCTGCTCTCATGGGCTTGTATTTAAGGCTGTTGGTCTGGGGCTCTGTATCACAGTTGGAAATGTTTGGGGCCGGCAAGCTGACTCCTTGGGTAAAAGTGCTTACTATGCAAACCTGATGACGTGACACAAGGCGGAAGGAGAGGACTGACTTGTGACAGTTCTTCTCTGACCTCCACACATGCTCCTGTGGTCTCCTCCTTGGACATGCGCAGTAAAGAAGTAGATACAGGAAATCCTTCCACGAGAACATTTGCAGTAAAGCATTTTAAGTTTATTCACGTGAAGGAAGTAGTTTTACTTTTAAGGTTAAGGTTAAATGTTAATGCTAGGAGTAGCCACCAAAGCAATAAAAATTCCATTCCGGGGCTGGGGAGATGACTCGGTGAGCCGAGCGCTTCTGCACAAGGTGAGCACTTGAGTTTGAACGTCCAGAACCCACAAAAAGCAGGGTGTGGCAGTGTGTCTGCAGTGCTCTTTGGTGAGAGGTGGGTGGGATGGGGGCGGGGCCTCTAGGGTCAGCCGGTCTTGTACGCGGAGGCTAACAACAAAGAGACCCCTCTCTTGTTCAAACGAGCTGAA